GAAGAGAAGCAGGGCCGCGGGGTGGGGGTGGGGGGGCAGACAGGCGTCCGTGCCCCTCAGTTCACCCACAGCAAGTCAGGGAAGAGGCCAGCCAGCCCTGAGGACACCCAAGGCCTGAGAAACTGACTCGCTGCCCCCAGGAGACAAGCTCCCCGCTGAAGGCCCAGGAGGGGAGGCAGTACACGGGACTGCTGGGTCCCCAGCGCCTTTGAGGGGAGGGGAGCGAAAGGGGGGTTCCAGCGAGGGCCGGCTTGTGCCACGTGCACGGAGGAGCGACAGGAAAAGGGGCCCCCGGCCCGGCTGGCAGGTCTCAGGGCTGCTCCTCTCACCTACCTACTCGCTCCTCCGCAGGCCCCTCCGCTGGGCAGCTTGATGCTCCTTTTCCTGCTCCTTCTGTGGCACAAGACAACTCTTTGCTCTCCCTGCCAGGCAAGCAGCCGCAGGCCAGCTCCCCTCCCTGCCCCCCAAACCATGGCTTCCCCCGGCTCCAGGGGGCCAGGCACGAGGGGCGGCAGCGGAAGGAGGGTCGCCATGGAGCTAGGCAGCCAAACATGCCAGGCTTGGAGGCGAGGCGAGGGGCCGACGCTCTGACAAGGCCACTCTGTGCACTGCACATCTGAGCCCTTCCTGACCCCCGCTCGTGCGCCACACGGGAAGCCTCACGCCCGTTTGCCCCGCTGCTGCCAATGGGCATCCCGCTATCCAGGAGGCCCCCAGACCTCCATGCGACTCCAGGAGCCCCTGCCCCCGCCCCGGATTTCTGCACGAGGCCGAGTAAGAGGCGGGAGGGACGGCCCGCGAGTGTCCAGCCTCACCCATTGCTCCTTCTCCTTGTCCCTGTTCTCCACATCCTGCTGCTGCTGGTATTTCCTGCGTGTAAGTAAGAAGCTGGAGTTAAAGAGCGACCAGGCTGGCGGGGTCCCGGCTCTGCTGCTTCGCACTGCACAGGGCCCTGTGTCCGGCCGAGAGCCAGCTCCAGGAGGGGGAAGCATTTCCTGAGACTCTGGCTTAAGGCAGGGGGACCCGGACAGACCCCCTGACTCCCCACTCTGAGCCATGTGGGGCAGCAGCAAGGAGATGTGGCCTCTCTGGGTCCCCGTGTACCACCGGGGGCCCTCTTCCCTCCCCGCGTGCCCTTCAAGGGCTGGGCACACAGACTGGGGCTGAGCGCTGGAGCCAGGATATGGCCCCACTGGAAGGAAGAAGGGAAGGTGAGCGCCCACGTGGCTCGCTCCTTGTGGCAGGGAGATGAGCCACGGCTCTCCACGCCCCGTGGCCTTGGTGGCTGCGCTGGGGGCAGAGTTGCGATTTCAGGCTTCCTGTCCCCTCTCAGGAGGGCAAGGGGTGGGAAATGCTGGGAGCCCGTCCTACCCCTGCACTTATCACTGGCTGGCTCCCTGCCGGCTCGGCGCCCCTGGCCAATGGCTCTTTGTGGGAGCGGGGCTCCAGGCGCCGTGCAGACATCCCCAACACCCATTCCGGTCTCACACCAAAAGCGCTGCCAAGCTGGACCCCAGCGAGCAGGGACAGGAGCCATCTCTCGGCTCAGCGTCCCACACTCTCAGCTCCTCGTCCGCTGGCACCTTCAGCTCCCGCCCCCTTGCCCTGGCTGTGCGGTGCCAAGACGCTGCAACGCCCCGGAGCTGTAGGGCTGGGCCCTCCGCGTGGGAGGAGGAGAGGCTGCAAATGGGAATGCAAGCGGTGGACGCG